AAGGGGAACAACAGAATCGCTGGGAAGCTGTTAGGACAGAACAGGCTGTGTGGGCTGGGACTCCGGGGGGAGAACCTGAGTGGTTGGAAGGAATTCTCCAACAAGCAATTTGGAGGGGAGAGTAGGGCCCCACAAGGGTATCCTCACACAGATGGAAGAGCAAAGAGCTGGATGCTGGTAAGAAAAAGAGTGAAGCTGATATGGGAAAGGGAAGGAAAACCGGAAGTAAGAAAAAATGGGAGGGAGGAGAATAACAGGAAAAAGCAGCAGCATCCAAAGGGCTCAAAATATTCGCTTCATGCACCTTCATGGGAGTTTGAAAACTGTAGCATTTAGTTGCTGTGCTTCTTATTCACTGCATTTGGAGTGAGACCACCTGTGTTAATCCAGATCGCTGGGTCAGTTACTCAGTCTTGCTGATTCTCAGTTTTCTCATCTGTAAGATGAGGAGAAAAATACCTCCCAGCATTGCCCAGAGACCACACGCAGCCACGTACCCCGCAATATTGACAGTGCGTCTGCTGTGTGGCACCTCTGCTCCCTGGGCTGGGAATGCTGCTGAGAGCAAAACAGAAAGGAATGCCTGCCTCCATGGACCTGATTTTCCGGGGGGCAGCCTTCCAGAGTGTTCTCTAAACTGTGGAGCACGGTGCACAGTCGAGGAATTACTGCTCTCTAAGGTAATGGTGAGTGTGACCTGCGTACTACAGATGGGAACTAAGTCTCAGAGGCCATGGGAGCAATGGTAGCGCTAAGCAGAAAAGGGGGGTCACCACCCTCTGTTCAGACTCTTATGGATGGAAGAAATGTGCCCATCTGAAAACCCGACATAGCTGGTAAAAGCAGAAAAGCTCTGGAAGGACAGTCAGTAAACTTCCCAGGGAGGAGGATAATGACAAGTTTTACCCAGCCACAGCCACTGAGCAAACTGGGCATCTGTGTGACTTCAGGAGTCTGGAGACAGCGATCCCGCTGGGGGAAAAGTTGCCCCCTGCGTTCGGCCGTTGGCTCCCTCTTGCCTCTCTGAATTTCTCTGCTGTTTCTTAAATCCATGTCCTCCTCACATCTCCCCAAAGCCACACAAGCGCCAGCACACACACCGTCAAACATTTCAGTCGTCATGATTTCCAGTTGGACTTCATCCCTAAGCACCTCCCTCCCTTTCCATTTTCTCACCTTCCTCTTGACTTTACAGAGGGCTGATTTATTTGCCAAAAAAAAAAAAAAGTTTTTAACAGAAGCATACAAAGCAACTCACTAAAAACCATTTCTTTTTGTCATGGTAAAATAGCCATAACACATTTATCTTTTTAAACATTTGTAAGTAAACAATTAAATATATTCCCAATGTTGTGTAACCATCGTCACTCTCTTTACCTAAAATTCTTTATTCTCTCCTTGACTCTTGTGAATCTGCTTTTCCTGGAGTGTAGGGGATGGGCTGGGAGAGTTCTCCATGGGTTACTCCCCCCGAGGGAGTTGTCCATTCCCATCTTCCTGGGGTAGGTTTTGGAACTTTTTCTTCTTCTTGGAGCTGCTGTCCTTGCTGCCAGCAGCCCCTTCAGGTCCACTGCTGAGCGGCTCCTCCTTGGAAGAGAATTTCCTCTTTTTCCCTTGTTTCTGACTCTTCAGGGCCAGACACTAACTGTTCCTCTTTGGGAAAGGATTTTTTCCTCTTGGGAAGATTTCACTGCCAACTGCCTGTTCAAGATCACTACTAACCAGCTCCTCCCTGGAAGAGGATTTCTTTTTCTTGGTTTCGGAGAAAGAGAAGGATGCGTATTCCATCCCATTCTCCTGAGGAGCCTCCTGGGGCTCTTGGTTTTTCTTTTTTCTGGGTCTCTCACCCATCCCCTCGCGCTCCCCCGGAACACCACTGCGGTCTTCTGAAGATGTGAGGGCCGTGGCAGAAGCTGTCTGTCTTCCTTCTTCAAGCACTTCTCCTATTTCTCCAGCTTCCTGGTCATCTCAGCAGCCATTTCCTCTGCCTGAACCATTGCTTCCTTGATGGCATCCAGATTCTTTCGAAGAACCTCCCCAGTCTCACAGAAGAACAGCTGCTCCTCGGCTTGTTCCTGAAGCTTCTCTCTAAATACACTCGTGGGCACCTCAGAGAAGCAACCAGTTTCTGAGGCAATACTACATTTGTCTGCCAGGTATCAGGAGATTCGGCCTTTGTTCTCGGCAGCTGCTTGGCCAATGAAGGTAGAGGGGAAAGAAGTTCATATTTTGGGGTGTTTCCCCTTGTCTTTAGGGCTCCGGAAACTTGGTCCCTTTGCTGAGCCCAGGGAATCACTCAGACACCAGAACTTCCCATACTTAAAATTTTTTCATTACCTCCAACAAAAACTCTATACCTATTAACAGTGATTCTTCCTTCTGCCTTCCCCCCAGCCCCTGGTGACCTCTGTTCTGCTTTCTGTCTCCATGAATTGGCCTGTTCTTGAAACGTCATATAAATGGAATCCTACAATATTTGCCTCTCTGTATCTGGCTTATTTTTTTCTGGCATAATTTTTCCAGGCCCATCCAAGTTTTAGTGTATATCAAAAATCCCTTACTTTTTATGGCTGAATCAAACATTTTGTTTCTCTGTCCATCTGTTGATAGATGTTTGGGCGGCTTCCTCCTCTTGGCCGTTTGTTAATAATGCTGCTATGAACATGGGTGTGAATATCATTAGCTCCAGCCTCTGCTTTCAGCGCCTCGGGATATATACCCAGAGTGGTGCACTGTGAGCACATTCAAAAGTCTGCCTCCTTTGCAGATGATTCCATGTCCATGAGTGTACAAGCTGCCTCTCCCAACGGAGCACTGCATGTGGGCTGCACCATGTGTACAAACCGTGTGGAAGCTGGTACCATAACCTTCACCACACCACATTTCTCTTGGCTTCAGACTCCTGGCTGGGCAACCAATGATTAATCTAGGGCAACCCTCTCAACTTCCAGATGAGGAAAGTAAGACTCAGAGAAGTGAAGTGTCTTGTGAAAAGACACTGAGTGAATAGCAGAACTGAAATTCAAACCCACGGGTCCTGACGCCAGCATAGACTCTCCCTGGTGCTGCCCCGCCTTTCATTTCCATCACTCTGCTTCCCATGGCTCCAGCTCTGCAAACTCTTTAATGACTCGGGAAATCATTATTTTTCTCCTTTTTAAACTTCTCCAACAGTTATGCAGTTTCAAATTCCAAAGGCTGAAAGTACTGCTACGTGGTACCAAACAGGGTGGACATTAACTGTCTAATGTGGGAGAGATGCCACAAATCCCGCTGCTGAAGCGTCAGCTGTGTTTCTTATTTTATAATACTTTCCATTAGTTGGTTCCCCAAATAGGAGCGTTGCTTCCTGGTTTCCGTGGTGATTTTTTAAATTTTGCTCAAACATTAATATCCGGATGCGACTGAACACGAATTCAACAAACCAGAACTTCATCATGACCAGAGCTGTCAGAACTGCATCAGCCAAATACTCGCCCAGCTCTTGGCCACCGCTAGCTGGGGACACAGATCCAAAGACTACTGCGCCTGGGGTCCATTTTGATGTTAACATGAACACAGCTGCTTGGCTTTATTTGTGTTCATTGATTTTTTTTCTGCTGATAATTAAAAAGAAATTTTTAGGGCCATTTTAGGCTCACAGCCAAATTAAAAAGAAGGTACAGAGATTTCCCATATACCTCTTGCCCCCACACATACATAGCCTCCCCCGTTATCCACATCCCCCACCAGAGTACTACAGGATTCTCCCTACCCTTTAGCGATCCAGACTTCACTAGTGGGCTGGACAGCATGGCTACAGGCAGCTCTAGGCTGAGATCAGGCCAGTTTGGCAATGCTAAGGAAGAGAAGAACTTCCCAGGGAAGGGCTCTAACTGGCTGGCATGGGTCTCATGCCCACCTCTCCAGCTGTAACCAGAGAGCTGTGATGGGCAGCTGCTGTGGTCTGAATGTGTCTCCTCAAGATTCATATGTTGTGATCCTAACCCCCAAAGAGTTTAGTATTAGGAGGTGGGCCTTTGCTCTAGTCATGAATATGGAGCCTTCATGAATGCAATTAGTGCCTTATACAAGAGATCCCACAGAGACCCCTCGCCTGCTGCCTCCACGGGAGAACACAGCAAGAAGGCATCAGATACGAACCAAGAGGAGGGCTCTCACCCAAATATGACCATGTCAGCCCCCTGATCTTGGACTTCCTGCCTCCAGAACCATGAGAAATAACTTTCTGCTGATTATAATCCACCTAGTCTGCAGTATTTCATTATAAGATCCCAAATGGACTGAAAAAGCAGCTTCACCAAAGTAAGGAGGCATGTGCTAACTAACCCTCAGAGCAGTAGGTCCACTGCTGGAGGTCAGACTGCGATGCCCGGGCAGGTCTGGAAACTGGAGGACAGCCCAAAGCTGACACAGAAATGCACTGTGGTCATATCACATGATGTGGTGAGGTTGTAACCAGCCATATACAGACTGTGGGGATTTTATAGGACAAACAGTCTAATTTCTTCAACAAATAAACGTGATTAGAAGAAGGCAAGAGAGGAGTGTAAGGAAAAACTGACAATGGATTAAGAGATACTTAAAAGACGTATCAACCAAATGCAATGTGTGAATCTTATTTAGATCATGATATGAAAAAGTCAATAGTAAAAAGACATTTTTTTAAGATAACACGAATTTTCAACACAGATTGGGTATTAGAGGAAATTAAGGCATTATTAATTTTGTTAGATATGATAATTCTATTATGTATATGGCTTTAATAAATCTCTTACCTGTTAGAGATTCATACTGAAGCATTTAGAGAGGAAATGACATGCAGTCTAGTATTCACTTTAAAATACTTTACTGTAGAGTTGGCAAAAGTTTTCTGTGAGAGGCCAGATAGAAACTATTTTAGGCATTGTGGGTCACACGATTTCTGTCATGACTGCCCATTCTTGCTGGTATGATGCAAAAGCAGGTACAGACGATACACAAACGAATGGGCATGGCTGTGTTCCAATAAAACTTTATTTACAAAAACAGGAGGCAAGTCGATTTGGCCCCTGGGGGTTGGAGTTGGCCAATCCCAGCTCTAGTGCAAAGAAAGGAGGGGAGCAGATAGGTGACAAATGTTGATAGTTGTTGAAATCGGAATGAGAGGTACCCAGTAGTTCATTACTCTGTTTTCTCTACTTTTGCATTTTTTGAACATTCCCATCATAAAAAAATTCAAGTGCCCAGAAGAGATTTTTTGGAAGGAAAGAGAACTATTTGCCTTTGACCTCTCTCCTAATCTCCTCCACTTTCTTTGCTTTTGCCTGTCTTTTTCTCAGATCTGTTTCACACACCCACTCACACACACATCTCCACTGTGATATATTTTTTTAATCAGAATGAACTTCCTAGACAGCCCCATCCTGAGAAAGGCAGCGAAATTCTACAGCACATCCTCATCGTGGGGTCTCAAATTCTTTCCCAGGAAACTCACAGGCCCCTTTCCTTTTAGAGCTTTTATACCCTTGTGAACATTTTTCCTGAAAATGGAGATTCCAGGCCTCAGGGCTGAAGCACACCACTCTTAGCAAAGCACTGTTGTTTTCTTATTTCTCCCCAGGAAATAGGAATGTCCCGGGGAGGATTAGAAAATTAGCAGACAGCTCTGGTGAAGGGCTGGGAACATGGGCTGGAAGTTGGAATCTGCTCAGAACATCTGGGAGTTCAAAGAAAGAAATGTTAAGCTATTCATCAGGCTCCATAAATTTTCCTGAAAGCAGATAATTATGAAACAGAACACAGTGGAACATGTTGTCAGAGGAAAGGAATTACATACATCTCACTTGAAACTGCCTTGAATGTGTAGGCTGAGCACATACGTCATTTCAAAGCAAGGGCTGAGGATCTGCTGAGGAGAGACGGGCTAGTGACCCTTCTGTTCCCAGATCCTGCACTGGGTGACAAGGGTACCTGCAAAGGCTGCTCCCCATCTGTCCTCCATCAACATCAGGCCCCAGCCCCTGCCCCTACCTGGAAGGATTTCTCCTTTGAGGGACCCAAGCCCCATCCTCCACTTGACTTCCAGCTCTTGCAGATGGGAAAAGACCTTTCCTGACAACACCAGCCCTGGTGGCTTCTCCTTCTAAGGAGCTTCTCGAGCACATTCTGATGGTACTACCTGTTATCACTTAAATGTATTGTCCTACATCCCACCGAGGAGAAGTAATGCTGAGCGATGCAATAGATTTACTCCAAAGTCTCGGTGACTTAACATGAAAAGTTATTTTCATTCATAATGCAAAGTGGGTGTTCCTGGGCAGGTAAGCTTTCACATCATCATTCGGGGTTCCCCAAGCTTTATTGTGTGGCTCCACGCTCTTCTCGTCCTTTGAATCCTTGTTATTCGGTTGACAGATGAGAAAAGAGAGCATAGGGAAGTTCCATCTACTTTTGCACAATATCATGTCTGTGAGATTCATTCATAATGTGGCTTCAAAGAGTAGTTAATTCTATTTCATTGCTGTATAATATTCCACTGCATGAATATTCCACAACTTATCCATTCTACTGCTGATGGGCATTTGGATTGCTTTTTTAGTTTTGGACTATTATCAGCAAGCTATTATGAACGTGTCGTGTACATATCTGTCCATTTCTGTTGGGTATATACCTAGTGGTAGAATTGCTGGGTCATATAAAACTTTAGTAGAGGTTGCCAAACAGTTTTCTAAAGTGGTTATACAAATTTATATGCCCACCAGCATTGCATGAGAGTTCAACTGTTGCTTCATATCCCTGCTAACTCTTGGTATTGTCTGTCTTTCTTATTTAGCCATTCTGGTGTGAATGCAGTGGTATCTCACTGTGGTTTTAATTTGCATTTTCATATTGACTAATGATATTGAACATCTTTTTTAAAGGCTCATTGGCCACTTTGGTGTTCTTTTTTGGGAATTTTCTGTTCAAGTCTTTGGTCTACTTTTCTTTTAGGTATTTTGTCTTTTTCTTATTCTGGACGTGAATTACTTGCCAGTTATATGGGATTACAATTATATTCTCACACTCTGTGGCTTGCCTTTTACTCCTTTCATGGTTTTTATATTTTAATGAACAAATGTTTTAAATTTTAATGAATTATGGAGCACCAATCTTTTCTATAATGGGTAGGACTTTTTATATCCTGTTAAAGAAATCTTTGCCTCTCCCAGGGTCACAAACATATTCTTTTCTGTTTCCTTAGTTATCTTTTGGAAACTTTATTTTTTACCTTTCACATTCAGGCCTGTAAATTAGCTGTTATTTATTTTTGTGTTTGGTATGATGCAGAAGTCAAGGTTTTCCCCATGTCAATATCCAATGGGTCAGCATCATTTACTGAAAAGACCAACCTTCTCCTGCTATATTGCAGTGCACCTTTGTTGCAAATCAGGTGATTACATGTGTGTGGATCGATCTGGGGACTCTTATTATTTTAGTCTCTTTGTCTATACTTTTGCCAATACCACACAGTTTTAATTATGGCAGCTTAAAAATCAGTGATTTACATCCTCTAACTTTGTTCTTACTCAAGATTGTCTTTGTCATTCCTGGTACTTTGCATTTCAGAATTTGTTTGTCAGTTTTCACACACACAAAAACACACATATACATCTGAGGGGATTTTGCTTGGGAATGAATTGAATCTACAGATAAAATCGGAAAGAGTTAACAGCTTTATAATATTCTTTAAGTCCATGAACATGGTATATAACTCCTCTTTCTTCTTTCTTCAATTTTTCCTGGTAATGTTTTGTAGTTTTCTGTATAGAGGTCTTGCACATCTTCGGTTATACTTATTCCTAGCTGATGCTTTTTGGTATGATTGATAATGGAACTATTTATTGAAATTTTACTTTCAAATTGTTTATTGCTAGTATCAAGAAATACTATTGATTTTTGTATACTGACCTTGTTCCCAGTGACACAGACCAATTTCTTAACTATTTTGGTCTGTCGCAATCACAGTTCATTGGCCAGAACTCAGTGACATGGCCACACCTAAATGTAAGGGAGGCCACGAAATTGAGTCTATCTGAATGCCCAGGAAGAAAAGGAAAGGAATTTTTGGGAACACAGCAGATTCTTCCATACTCTTTACAAGATTTTGATGTCCACGGGTTTACCCTGTCACTATGTTGCAAGGAACTCTAAAGCTCTCCAAGTCTAAAGACAGCATTTAGCTAATTTATAACTTTTGGAGTTCTTCAGAATGCCTTAGTTGGCAAAAGACTGCCTTACTAGTTATATTCTGTTACTTTGGATAATTGTATGGCCCCAAGATAATCATCAACCACGTATGAAATACTGCTTTGAAATCACTTGGTGGGGTCCTGCTCCACAGCAGACATAAATACCATTCAAATTATGCATAGGTTTCTATGGTTCCAGATTGGCACAGAAATAAAGCACACGCCACACCTCCTAATGAACCTGCAGACCATACTCCCCACCCCACCGCTCCCTACTAAAGGTGGAAATCACACAGAAACAAGTTACTCTATCTTTTGAATGACCTAATTCAAAGGTTTTGCTCCCATAATGTTGTGATCTCAAGTTATGTTTAATTGTTGTTACCAGATACAAATGATTTAGTTTCTGAATTAACCTAATTTGGTTATGCACAGCTGCCAAGCTCACGGCTCAGTCACTGAACTCTGATGGCCTGTGTTGGGCACTGCTGAGTCCTGATTGGTTGGATTTGAGGGTGGTCTTTAGTCTGTCAACAGTGCATACAAGATATGGTTAACGGCTTTTGTAGTTTAATATTTACGCAGAACACAATTTCATGTATTCTGAGAACACATCTGACAACGTTCAGGTCAATCGATTCCAAAGCTGGGATGCTCCAAAACACAATGTTTCCCCCTAAACAGCAGCTGGGAACACGGGCACGGTTCTGCCACGTGTTTTGTGCAGATTGTGCTGCTGTGAACAAAGGAGAAACCTGAATGTGAATGGAGCCTCGCCCTTTCTCACAGAGGCAGGGAGGGTTTCTGATGAAGTCTATTGGGGTCTGAGGCTCAGGTACAATCCTGCAAAGCTTTGGACCCTCAAGGGGCAGTTATGGGCCCTGAGTGTCCCTTCCAGAGGAGCCACATCCAGCTGTGCCTCAGGCCCCCACCCCACATCCAACACAGAGAGGGAGGGTAGGGAATGTTTGCGGAAGGAAGAATGGGCTCAGGAGGTCATTCTCCAGCCCTGCAGAACTTTATTCTCACTTTCTCTCGCCTTCCCTCTCTCTCCCCTCCTCTCTCCCACTGTCATAGAAGATGCTCAGCTAAGAAGCTCTTCTCAGCTCTCACACCCCCTGTTCCAGTCCCCACTCCCATCACCAGCACAGAGGGCTTTTCCCTTAGATGGCCTTCCTACTTTTTGTTTAGATTTATTTTGCTTCAATATATTTCTAAGGTGTTTTCTCCCTATATGCTGCCAAATCATATCTGAGCTTTAATCAGTGGCTTAAATTAAAGTTCTAAGATCAGAAATAGGGGGTGGACATGTCAAAGACAAAGTAGCCTCCAAGGACCCCTCCTCCCCAGCCCCCTAAAAAACCCTTGTAGTCTTCCTCCTCCTCCACTGGATCAACTATAGTTCTTCTGGGAACATTCTGGACAGAATTCTTGGTGTTCATGTGTGTCGGGGAGGGTTTGTTTTGTTTTGGTTTTTCAGGAAAACCAGGGTAGTGGAGCAGGGTAACCTTGGAATAATAGAGAGGGTCAGGCTGGGACAGAATATTCCCATGATGTGTGTCTCACTTGGGGCTGGACCCAATCCAAGGGAACAAAGGTGCGGATCTAAAACACATTCTCTGACAAAATACTGGGTTGCTATGGGTTAATATATTACCATTTTTCTAGGTTTCATAGAATTTGGGAACCAAATTCAGAATAGAGTCACCATTCATTGAGCATTTACTACATATATGCCAGGATTTTTTCATCTTTTTAACAACTCTATGGGGTTGATACTGAGCTGAGGCTCCCGCCATGTGCTACAGCTGGTAAGGGTGATACTAGGAGAAAGAACAGGTTTGTTCATCTACTCCAGTGATACTTGGTTGTTTTCATGTCTATGGAGGTGAAACAATTACAGAGCAAATGAGATCATTTCAGGAGGCAAGTATTCGAATTTTAATTTGATACAGCCCTCATAAATGTTAAAATCAAGATCTAACTAATTATCTCTATATTCTGGCCAGTTGCATAATGCCTCCTTGGGGGCCACTGGAAAAGGCAGCCGCAGGTCGTGGGTCCTGTGCGCCCCTACTCTGGCGGCTGAGGTGCACCAGTGAAATTTGAGACTGGGTTTGAAGGTCAAGGCCCGCTGACATTCTCAAAACGTCCAGCAGGTGGCAGTGTTTCCCACACCGGCGGAGCCGACCTCGGTCTGCACTGAGAGCCTTGGAAGAGACATGAAAACAAATTTGTGAGGACCGATTGTACCACCGGCCTGGATTAGACTTTTTTTTTTTTTTGCCTTTTTCTACATTTTATTTTCGAAACATTTTAGTAAAAATAATCAAGGTACTTCCGTGAAGAAGTAAAACCTGGTGATTCTCTTCTGTCCCCGGATGCCCTTGGCTGCCTGAACCCCTCACTGTGATGTTCCCAATGGGTCTATCCTTCCAGAAACACCCCCAGGAAGATTATTTTCAACCCTCACCTTCATCCACCTGTCCCACCACACCACCACCTGCTGCCACGTTGCTGCCCCACTTCCTTGAAAGCCAGCTCCTGCCATTCAGCTCTGTTCTTCTGAGCTGTAATTCTCCTGGGAGACCCAAGCACATTTCCTGGAGGAGATTGTGAGGGAGGCCAAGCTGTCTCAGAAAAATCCTGGGACCCAAAGGAGTAACCAATGGCTGCGGCTACCGACTGTAAGGAAGACCCGTCAGGACTGACGGAGACTTTGCCAGGTCTGTGCCTGCATAGCCAACAGGCAGCTACTGCAAGTTCAACCACAAGCAACAGCAGGAAGTATCTCATCTCCCACTCACAGCCTCCATCTGTCACACAGCCTGACATCTCAGTACTGGAGATATATTTCTTTCGATTTTGAGAATGGTCAGATTTTCTAGAGCACCCTATTAAAAACGTAAATGTAGCAGGGATGGCAACAAACTGGCGTATAAATGCTATGGAAGTGAAGAGGGGCTGCTTCATGGGAACTGGGAACTGATAAGTGTGTAGACAACTATGGTAAGAAACTCTTTGGTAATTTTCCTAATGACAATGTAAAACATTTTTATGCAAAAGCTGATTACGTATAAAGTTAAATAGAAAGCTAAACAGTCTGAGAAATTTCATTTTTAAATAACAGTCCACTTTAATAATGACTCAGAGGCCAAAGTTTAAAAAATAAATCATTGTATGAATTCTTATGTTAAATTAAACTACCTAAGCCTTGCTGTAATACTGTATTTTCCTCAATATGTGGTGGTGCAGGGAAGAGGCTAAACAGAAGGGTAGTATTGCAGAGGAACATTTTATTTGTGGTGGGGGTGCGGTGCTGGTAATTAGGTTTTTATTTATTTCATGGAGGTACTGGAGATTGAACCCAGGAGCTCGTGCATGCTAAGCACACACTCTACCACTGAGCCATACCCTCCTCCCCTCAGAGGAGCATTTTAAATTGCAGAAGTAAAAAAATTACACAATTTGTAATTGTGATGAGTTTAAGTTTATTTTTATGGGAAAGATTTTTCTTCCCTAAAACCGTTTCTGGAATGGTAAATTGTTTCCATTATTAAAAGTTGAAGTTGGAAAGAAAGTAAGAAAGAAAGTAAGAAAGAAAAAGAAAGGAAGGAAGGAAGGAAGGGAGAGAAAGCAAGCAAGCAAGCCGGCCAGCCAGCCTCTGAGTTTTGGTTAGAAGGACAGGCATCAGCCAGGCAGGAGACGCTAGGAAATTTGGGGGAAAGGCTTTTTTGTGTTGTTTTGAGGGGGGAGGTTATTAGGCTTATTTAGTTTTAGAGGCGGTACTAGGGATTGAACCCAGGACCTTGGGCTTGCTAGGCATGTGCTCTAGCACTTGAGCTATACCCTCCCCCTGGGAAAAGCTTTTAATAAGTCTAGTATCAGCTAACTTTTATCAAGCTTATTCAATGCCTACCGAGTGCCATGTGATGTAATAGACACTTTGTATACATCATTTTGTTTAGTATTGGGCCATTTTATGGATAGGAAACTGAGGCTCCACAAAGTTAACCTGTCCAAGGTCACCAAACTTATAAGCACCAGCCAGGATTTAAAGCAGAATTCAAGCTCAGGTTCAAGACCTTCCTGCCCTTTCCACTTGATCCCACTACAGTTACGCCAGAGTAAACCAGCATCACAAACCTTGGGGAAGTGACCAGAGACTGGAAATCTCCAAGAGTCCCCATAATACTTGTCTCAGGTTTTTATTGATATTCAAGGAGCTCATTCTTATAGTCCAATCCCCTGACTTCCTGGGTTGTGAAATGCTTCCCTGTGGGAAACGCTGTACTTGGAAGGATTGTATGTTCCAGTCCTACAGTCAGGACGAGTGTTCTGACTTGGAGACGTTCATGCAGTGCAGTACACTATTCAAAGGGGGATTTGGTCAGCCTCTGGGACACGAGTCTTTTTTTTTTTTTCCCAGGCAAATGAATGTGTTTACTTAAATATTTATACAAAAGTGGCTCTAAGAGCAATAGATATAATTCCCAAATATGGTGGCTTCCCCTTTGATTTTGCACGCTAGAGAATGTTTAAATTTGTTAATTCTCAAAATTAGATATCAGTGCTGTATTTTTTAAAGCTATATGACTTGTACTATGTCAACAGGGACCCTTACTGGAATCGCAGTGTCATCCAACTTACAGCAAGGGAAATCAATTGGTAAGAATGTCATTTTAAAAAGTCAAATAGAGCTCTAAACTTGAATCATTTACATCTTGACTTTTAAAAATATTTTTAACCCTTCCTAAAGATTCAAAATATATTACGTATATTTTGAAGTACGTACTTTCTACTTTAAACAAAATGAATAATGTTTTGAAAATTAAACAGTATATTATCTACCTTGTAGACAGCCTCTTCCTCTAACACTGCCACTGAGTTAGTGACTTTTACATGATGTGAAGTTCGGATTCGGATTCCACGCCCTTTTTCGTTCCCAGCGTGTGGAACTCAGCACTCCTGGCAGCTCCTGCCCCTGACGTACATCTACAGGTTCGGCTGCCCACACGCTTCTCTGGTTGACAGGCACCCTGGCTGTCCAGTGGCTCCGGGGAGGGAAGCAGACAACAACACACCCCCGTGCATCTTCCCGTGATGACAAAGCGAATGTTGTCGTGGGCAACAAAGAGGCAGCTTATTTTGCTCTCAGGCCTGGGTGAGCAGGGCCGGCCCGTGGCATGGTTCCCTTGTCATGGGAATGACACTTCTGAATACACATTAAACTGCTATGTTTTTCTTTCCGCTTAAATCATGATGTTCTGTGGTTCTCCATCCATTTAATCAACAGGTTTCCATGCTTCAGGGACCGAGAGATGCCAGTGAGGACAACCAGGTCACTGCTCAGCTTCGGCTGCCAAATTCTTGTTTGTTTGTTATTTTTTTGATCCCTTGACAGACAGCAGTAGTGATAGTTGCCTCCAAAGTGAGGTGTGGCCATGGTGCAGACAGAAAATATTAGCACTCACCTCCATTTTCATGTTTATCTTATCTTTTTAAAAATTGAAGTAGATAGTTGATTTACAATATTGTGTTAGTGGCAGATGTACAACAGAGTGATTCAGTTATACATATGTATCTATATTCTTTTTCTTCCAATTCTTTTCCATTATAGTTTGTTACAAGATACTGAATATAGTTCCCTGTGCTGTACAGTAACTAGTCCTTGTTTATCAATTTTATATATAGTGATGTGTATCTGTTAATCCCATACTCCTAATTTATCCCTTCTCCTTCTTCCCTTTGGTAACCATAGTTTGTTTTCTCTGAGTCTGCTTCTGCTTTGTAAATAAGTTCATTTGTACTATTTTTTAGATTCCACATACAAGTGATATATATATTTGTCTTTGACTTACTTCACTTAGTATGATAATCCCTAGGTCCCTCCATTATCTTATCTTTTAAAGTGTCTATTTTTGGATGGATGTTTTATAAAGCATGCAGTATATTAATAAAATAATAAGCATATATAATTCTAAGACATACATATACGATGCACAGATATATCAAATATAATATATGTATATATTCAAACTATTTTACTGGAGGGTGGGGATGCATGATCAAAAACTTGTGACCACTGATTTTGAAAGCCAGACTTGTTTTAGTAGAACATTTTTTCCCCTAAATTCCAAAAGCTCCCTTTAACTAACAAAAGTATTGCTCAGAGCACTCCACGTTGACATTTACTACAAACTGTAGGAAAAGAAAACTTAAGTACCTTCTCGTCTAGGGGACAGTAGATAGTACCTCCCATGTGGGAAAGCTGTGGGAAGAGGGGGAAGAGAGGCAGATTGCGTGTGTGGGAGGGGCACGTCCCACTCCCCACTGGTGGGTTAGTCTAGGCGGCTCCCAGAGCACTGGGGCTGTCCCTCTTCCCTCAGGCACCTGAGGGAATGTTCACATCCAACACAGGCCTCCTAGGTTGAAGATGGTGGCGAGGTAGGCAGGCTGCAAGGTGGTCTCAGAGCCCTGACCCTCCAGTGGGAGTGCAGCTGCAGCCAAGGGTCTCAGTCCCCCGAGAGGGTGCTGGAAGTACTCAGAACCATCAGATTACAGAAAGTTGAGGGACAACGAGAAGCCACAAAATTTAAGAACCAGAGAAACTATGGACACAGGAGCCAAAAGAACCAGGTGAGATCAGCTTCACCCGAATGAGTGCTTGGGAGGTACTGGATGCTCAGACACCACACCAAACCAGCCACTCTGCAGTGAAGACCAAGGGGGACTCGGAGACCCATTCCTAGACTCTCTGCTCCTACGAGGACATGGTCGTCTCCCCTTCCACTCAGATGCTTCTACAGCCAAACACTGTTAGTGATGGGCTGAATTGTGACCCCCCCCACCCCCATTCATACATTGAGGTCCTAACCCCTCATACCTCCGAATGTGACCTTATTTGGAAATCGGGTGGTAGCAGACACGGTTAGTTAAGATGAGGTCATACTGGGGTAGGGTGAGCCCCTAGTCCCTCTGACTCGTATCCTTATAGAAGGCGGAAATTTGGAGACAGATGCTCTCAAGGAAAACACCGTGGGAAGAGACACAGGAAGAAGGCAGTCTGGTCTACAAGCCAAGGAGAGACACCTGGAACAGATCATTCCCTCCCAGCCCTTGGAAGGAACCAACCCTGCTGGCACGTGACCTCAGACTTCCAGCCTCCAGAACACTGAGACAATACATTTCTGTTGTTTAAGCCACTCAGTCTGTGGTCTCTTGTTACAGTAGCCCCAGCAAACTAATATACCATCTTTGCTAAAGATGCAAGGTGGATGGGGAGAAATCCAGACGACTAAATCTTTATTCAGGAGGGGCTGGGACAACCTGGAAGAGACGGTTCTAAACTAAAAGAATGTGAGTTTTCTTGAGGTACCTCTCAGGGGAAGTTACCAGGGGAAGTCCTCTGCCCCCAGAAGAGGAAACAGAGGCCTTAGCGGAAGATAAGAATAGTCTGGACAATGAAGCCGGGACATTTTGCACATCTAAGTGTACTGAATAAGACCTCAGCCCAGCTAGTTTCAAATTTCTGACGCTGCAGCCTACCCTGGCCTCCCTCTCAGTGTGGCCAGCGCCCGCCTCCCAGATAGTTTACGGCTTCCAGGCTGATCACCTGTGGTATTATAGTCTTACAAGAGATCCCAGCCTCCTCACTTCTTGCGTTGGTCCAGGTAGCAGGGTCCTAAGCTGAGTAAGAAGCAGTGTCATGCTGGAGCTGGTTTGTACCAGGTCATGACAGCTAGCTGGTCAGTTTTCAGGAATTTTGTGAGCCAGTCGTTAAACAGAGCCATTACTAAAAATCAAATTATAAAAACTTATGATCAAATTGATTATGTACTTTTTAAAGTAATACATTCTCAAAAATCCTCACTTCCTAATTATTTTACTATTATCTATGCTTCTGAGGTTCCTTATGTCTTTACATTTGTATGGTGGAAATATTTTATAATGAATTGCTACTGTGCATGAACTCTTCCCAATTCCATATCCGATGACGTCCCATTGAAATCAACTATGGAACTGGTATTTACACCACAGAAACTGGCTGTGTATCCGCCCCCTCCCCACCCGCAGGAGGGCCAGCTGTTAGGGGTTCTCCAGCACACACACCATTGTGTAGATGTGGACATGGGTGTTGGGCTATTTGTTCTGATAAAGTAGGAGATCAACTGAAAAAGCTGAAGCAACAACTGTTATCAGGTGTGCTCAGGTCGGCCTTGGTTCCGAAACCATGCAGGAGTGATGAGAACAAATCCAATCTTCCGCAGTGCCACGGAGGAGAGAGACACCCAATGAGGGTGGCACCTACTGAGACCACCCATGTGCTTCCAGATTTGGGGCCGGTCGCTAGACAAGTAGCCACTGACCTCAATTCCGTTGTTCTCTTTTGCCACTGTTGAATAACGGTGCTGAATGGGGCACCTAGGAGCTGGCTTCTACCAAACCATCCCTATTCCTGTAAACTACCCTGGAGCTAACTCTTCTGATCCTGCTTCCTTGCAGCAAGAGAACCAGGGAACTCAGAGGGCACCCGAGAACCAGGACTCAATCACGGGACTCTGCTGTCTTCTCTGTAAACACCCCTCCTCCACCCGCTAATATGGCATTCTAACGAGCCAGCGAGTCCTTGGGGATTCGACCCTCTCTGCATAGTAAGAGGTGTAAAAATAGCAGGTGACCCCACTTCAGTGACAGGTGCCAGGCAAAAGTGTTTTTCGGGACCACAGCACCATAGCCAGGCTTGGGGGCCGACCTGGGCTTATACCCAGCTCCTCCACTTACCAACCGTGTGGCTTTGGGCAAACGACCATCCTCCCAAGCATCCATTTTCTCATCTGTAAAGCAGCAAATCAAGGGAGATGTCAGAAGTTGAATGAGCAAGAGATAAAGATTTAAGCACATATATTTTCAAAGTTACAATGTCAGTCAGTGCAATAGAGGGGGAAATAGTAAGTTAACTATAAAGAAATGGGAGGGATGTCATAGAGGTGGTGACATAACCTGAATCCTTGCTATGACACCAGGACAGCAGACGTCAAGTATGTTATTTAGAGATCAGGAGTTTGCCCCCAGAAGCAGTAAAAACAGAACAGGTAGAAGGAGTTACCTCAAGGGTCTGGGAATCAAGATGGGGAGAGACGCAGCTGTTACTTTTCATTGCTGGATTTTTCCAAAGGTTTTTACTTTGAAATCCTGTTCAAGTGTTAGCTTGATTCCGTTTTTGAAGAAGAAGAGAGCTGTGCCTTCTATTAGCTAGATTTGTAACCTCTTGAAAAGTGAATTGATTTCATTTGTTCTTCTGTCTAGAGTTGACTTTATATGTCCTTTGGAAGTGGTTTATTTTTACAGTTTCTGAAACTCTGTGAGTTTCTGTGGCTCCTTTAAGTCTGTTTTGTATGTCTCTTGATTTATAATATGTTGGCAAATCATTCCAAATAAAGCCTCTTTTCTTGTGAAAATATGTAAAGAAATTGCACTGGATGACTCAGAGTTTGAAGTGGGAGCTCTCATCTCCGAAGCACTGAGCAGAGTGGCAGGCAGCTTAGCTGAGACTGGTTCTGACCTCAGAACCAGAACCTTGGTCCCATTTAGCAAACCCACCTCCCACCCCTATACCCATCTCCGGCCAAATTGGAAACCTTCGACCCATTAGCCTCAAGTTCACAGACCTAATGGGTCCATGGATAGGCTGTAGGGGACCCACAAACCCCTAGAATTACATTTGCAACCGTGTATGTTTCTGGAAAGAGTGTCCAGACAGTTTTCAGATTTTCAGTCTCCAGGACCCTAGAACGGAAGAGGTTTTGCTGTCTGTAGATCTCTAATACTCCTGACAAAGCAAACTTCAGGGCGTTTTACACCTTTATAAACAGTTAAGATTCTCTCCCCTTCTTATCTTTCTAATGTAGAGTGGTAGCTAAGAGTTCCAACTCTGGACCAGAATGCTTGGATTTGAAGCCTACCTTCACCATTTCCTAGCTGTGTGATCTCAGGCAAATTACTTAACCTCTCTGTGCTCTTATCTTCTCAATTATAAAACAGGGCAAATAATAGCACTGACCTCATTGGCTTGTTGTGTAATTAAACTCCAGTGGCATTTTTGGCCTTTATTTTGTTTAGTCTCCTGTGACCCTCTTAAAGACAGGGGTCATATCTGGTTCATTTCTGCATCTCAAACATCTGTCGTGCCTGCCATACAGCAGTGCTCAAGAAATGAATGGATGGATCTCGAATTCAGGCTTTGCAAAATTTCTACCCCAGCTCTCCCCAATTACAACCTTTTAAAAAGGCTTCCAGCCTTGATCAGGTGATTTTTAGATGCCCAATTCACTCTTCACTCATCATTTATTCAGTAAACAAATATTTAGTGCCTCCTATGTGACAAGCACCGAGGATACCGTAGTAAACAAACCAGCAAAAACTCTTGTATTCATGGAGTTCGTATTCTCTTTCCACTGACGAACCCGAAACCTTGGCGGGGACCTCCCCGGGCAGTGAAATCCTGATGCCTCTTGATGGGAAGATAACGGTCAAGCCCACAGATGTGCCCTCTTGGATTTACAGTCCTGTAATGGATTACAAATACATGGTGATCACGCTCAGACCAAAATACTCCCAGCTTCCAGGTAGATTGACAGCCCTAGGGCCCCTGTTTCAGGCACAGGAGCCCTCCTGGCATCCTCCTCTGGGTTCACTGTCCCCATGTGCTGGGCTGCTGCTTCTGCCTCCCCCTCCCCCCTCCTCCCCTCCCCTCCCCCTCTACCCCTCCCCCTCCCCCTCTCCTTCCTCCTCCTCCCTGGGCCTGACCCAGGGGAAGAGCCTGGGCAGGCCTGGGACTCTCCTGTCTCGCCTGGGCTGTTGTCAGCACAGGATCAAGGAGAGAAAGTACCAGCGGGGAGTGCAGGGCGGGGCAGTGGGGGCCTGAGGGGAGCTGGCTCTGGGTTGGCAGTGATGGGACATGTCAGGTCAAGTGCAGGGAAATGCTGCAGAGGCTCTGAGACTGAGCAGGGGCCCAAGGTCACAGAACTCACCACACACGTCCTGCCTGGTATTTTCTCTCTGTGAGCAGATATTTGACTATAAAATCCTTTGCAGCCGTGGGAGGGAGGGAAGGCGTAGTCTGTCACTTCAAACAGAAATCTTTCTACTGGACTATGGAGGCTCCACACAGAACCCAGAGGCTGGGGCAAATCAGCCCTTGACTCCTTCCTTCCAGCTGCCTCCCTGCCCACACCTACAGGACAAACAGAGCTGTCCAGCCACCTGGCCTCCTCCCACCACACGCCAGGGCCTCAGCACTGGCACCGACCTTCAGCCTTCTTCAGCAGCCCTGGCTGGGGTCTCCCCAACTCTCCCGCCTTCCGCCCCAGCTGGCTTCGGGCTCCCAGTGCTGTCTCCCTCCCTCAGTCTCCCCCCACACTGCCTCAGCTGCTGTAACCAGCTATTTTTACTTCAGTGACTGAGTATGCCTGCTTTGGCTTCCTTGGGGCTGGCGTCGGGGACTGGGATTGAGAGGCTGCTTCACCTTCAGGGGTCTGGGCCATATCTTGATTTAGGGGTAGGTCTTCTCCCACTCAGTTAAAGCAACGGAAGGAAAGAGTCTGGAAGAGGTTCTAAGTAGAGGAGGGGCCACAGCATGGGTCCCCCAGAGTGCTAGGTTCATCCTTCCTTTTACACAGCGTGGAGCACCCTGAATTTCTTCCCTCTCTTTCCTCCTAAATAACTCTTCCTTGGTTTTTAAGATTCAGTTCAAATAGCCCCTCTTCTAGGTTACCTTCTCAGAGCCCTCCAGTCCACAGCGACCTCCAGCTGCTCTGAGTTTGTCGAGCTCTCACTGTACAGGCGACACATTCCCTGTTCCTGTGTATCTTCTGGGCTGAGAATCGGCCCTATTTGTTATGGGCCACATGGGTCTGTGCGGAGAAGATGTTTGAATTCATAGTTTGCGTGGCCAACTCCTTGGGGGCAGAGGAAATGCCTTGACCTCTGGGAGCCTTTCTCACCCCTTGGTGTCTTGATGGTGAATGGTAGGTGTGTACTTCCTTGCTGATCGATGGCTGATTAAAGGTGGAAACTTGCCTTGTCATTTGATTTCACTCCTGGTAAGACAGGGAGGTCACTGGCACTTTGGGGAGGAGCCCAGACCTTGTCTGTTCTTTGCATCATATGCTGCTTCAGCAAAAACCAAGGCTGAATACGAATTCAAAGGAGTGGAAATTACAGGGAACGTTTTGCTTTTCTAGGCTCATGTTCCAAGGCGATAATAAAACATCCAAGTACACTTCCATTCCTAGCTCAGAAACCACAACAGATGGAAGCAAGTGTGGGCAGTAATTAGAGACCAAGGTGAGGGAAAAGAGTCATCCATCGGGCCCTGGAAACCTCATCAAAGGAAATCAACACAGAGAATAAAGGCACCCTCGGTTTGTTTTGGAAGCAAGGACGGGGGATTATGTCCTGGCTCCTACAAGTACACGAGACCTGGCACTGGCTTGGACCATCCAAATATTAAACCTGGTAATTATGTGCTGTGGGCAGGGCCAGCCTGGTTTCTCAGTGCCACATCCATTTCCTGTGGTGGGTGGCAGGTCTACAAGGCACAGTGGTGCCAAGTTTTCTCAGCAACCTTCTCAGTGTGGGGAAGTTAGAGTAAGGCCAAAGAGCTCTGTCCAGAAACACAAGGTGAGCCACTGTGAGATCGTTTGAACAAGATGGGCCACGTTTCAGCCAGAATGGCTAGATCTTTATGAACAGAAGCCAAGCCACGGAACATGGTCCTGTGGCAAAACCAATCAGGGGGAAATGGATCTCCTGGGTGAAGAGGCACCAAAGGCAGGAAGAGAGAGAGGAAGCACCTTCTCTGATCTGGGCCAGTGAATGGTTTGGCCGACTTTGTTATCTTTCCGTAGGACTGCAGGGGAGCATCCCGGGGCTTCTGAGTCCCGCAAGAGGCAAAGAGTCATGGTCCCTGCTCTCTCCTGTGACCCTAGCATCGGCACCCTCTGTTAAGGGAGATGGCTCCTTTCCCTTTGCCCCACCAAGTCAACTAAATAAAAATGACCAAATTTGGTAAAAATAGCCATTATATACCTTCACGTATAAGCTGTGTGAGTAAGAGGAACCCAAGAAAAAGAAGTTGGGGTCCCCACCATTTTGGAGCTAAAGGAAAAAGATGGTCACTGGGGATGCCAGCACTGGGAACGGAGCCTCCCAAGAGGAGTCCTTCTCAAGGCTGTGCTTCCCGTGGAGCAATGCTCCAGGGTGTCTGTCCCCTGATGCCTGGGACTAGGAGACACAGCTCCTGGCGTGAGGACCGCCCACAGAGCCCCTGAAGGTCAGAGTCTCCTGAAGACCAACCCACAGTCCTGTTAACTCCACCTCCTTGAAGGATCTAGGATGAGGCCTCGCCCACAGTGCTCAGTGATCTCAGTAGGAGCTGTGTGCAAAATCTGCTTACCTCATGTACATTTTTAGGAGGAACCCACTACTCTGATGCGTTTCTCGGCATTATGGGAGTTACGCTCGCACACGCTAAGGCTGGCACACTTGGTTCACTGCCTTGGCGAAGAGATACAGCCACTGAGCTGGAGAACAACCTGCTGCTGCCTCTTTTTCTACCCCTCTATGGATGTGTGCCGCCAAAAAGGCCTTACATTTTTTTCCATCTTTATTGAGCTATAACAGTTTGAATTTTTTTAAAGATGCGAAAATTTTTTAAAAATTAACTTAAATAATAATTTAAATAATTATTTTAAGATTGCATTTGCTAATATTTTTATTAGTATTTGGTCATGGGAGCAATTCTAGAAAAAAACAGAAAATTATTAAAATAATTTTTTAATCTCTTGTAACTGCACAAACTAGAGTTAGCCACTGCTACCCTTCAGTAAACGTGCTTCCAGCATTCTCTCTCTGCCTCCCTTTTTATTTTTAAAATTGAAATCCTATGGCATATATATATGTACACACACACACATATATATAGACACACAGAGATATATATGTATACAGATATATATACAGGTATTTCTGACATTACTAGACAAAAATGAGACATATATCTCTCTGTGTGTATGTGTATATATATCTGTGTGTATATATGTATGTGTGTGTGTATGTATATATATATAGTGTTTTTCATTTCGTCACATTGTAAATATTGGCAACAAATATTTCTTCATACACTTCAAAAGCCACTACCACAAGCAAGATATAACATATTCCCATTACCCCCCAAAATTCTCTGTCTCTTTCTTGGTCAATTCCTTCAATTCCTAGCTCAAGGCAACCACTGATCAACTATCTGTTAGGATAGGTTAGATTTGGTTTTCTAGTGCATCCTGTAAATGGAAACATACAGCATGTATCCATTTGTGGTCTGGCTTCTTCCACTCAGCGTAGTGTTTTGGAGGTTTACCCAGATTTCTGCAGGTAAACTAATTCATTCCTCTTGATTACTGAGTGGTATTTCATTATATGGATACACCACAGTTTATCTGTGAATGTGTTGACAGACACCTGAATAGTTTCCAGTTTTGGGCTATGATAAATAAAGCAGGTCTTTGTGTACACATATGCCTTCATTTCTCTTAAGTAGACATCTAAGGGAATTGCTGGATCATAAGGTAGGTTATGTTTAAATTTTTATATTAAATTTGTACATTTTTCAAAAGTCAAAGTGTTTTCGAAATGTTTGTACCATTTTACGGTCCCACCAGTTGTGTACAAGTGTTTCAGTTCCTCCACCTCCTCAGCAATGCTTGGTATGGTCGGTATTTTAAATTCTAGCCATTCTATTGAATGTGTTATTATATATAGTGGTTTTTATCTAACATTATATTATGAGTGTTCCCCAGGATATTAGATATTCTTTGGACACATCATTTTGTGTGAATTCAATGTATATCAGTACATGGGAAAACCACACTTCAGGTAAGTAATTCCCTGTTGGTGAACATTTAGCTTGTTGTTTTCTCCATAAATAATGCTGTTAAAACACTTTGGTCGGAGTAGGTGGTTATTTCCTTAGGATAAAGTACTCAAGTAATTCTTATGGAAGAAAGATTAGAAAAATACAGATAAGCAAAAAGAAAAAACATCATTTATAATTTTGCCACTATGAGAAAACCATCCTCAACAATTTGGGGTATAGTCTTCCAACCAACTAGCTAACCAGCTAGTCATCTCTACACTTTTTAAGAGTCCCTTTTGTTGTTGTTGTTCACTGCTTTATTTTAAGCACTGTTTCATTATAAAATTTTAAAGATTCATAATGGAGAATGAACTTTTGGGGGGCTCTTGATACGTACTGCCAAAAGCCCATTTCTAGCATTTGGGTGCAAGGAAAAAGGATTCTAGCATTCCATCTGTCCAGTGAGCAGCTCTGGATGCTTCCAGTGGAAGAGGTCTGAACCTTAAGGATAATCCTCTACCTTAAGGGTCATCTCCTGTAGCTCTCAGGGCAGACTCTAGAAATGTTATCTCTAAAAACCTCAGATAGAGCCCTAGAAGAAGCTGCATGTACAAAACTAGGAAGCAAGAGAGCAAGCTGCTCCTTACAGGCACTCTTGTCCCCTCTGCCAAATATATATATATATACATGTTCTAGAGCCCTTCTGGTGAAATTCTCCCATTTCTGAACTTTGTAAAGAATGCGCTATTTGACATACTCTCTCTGGATCCAGGGAGGGACTTCTTAAAGGCTGGGTGCGTACTAAGAACAAGAAAGGCTATGAGCTGGACCGTGGGGACGGGCCCTGACAGGCAAGTGTCTCTAAGCCTTCAGTCTGGTGAGCACCTGGGGAAGACACACGGGTAGAAAACACCACTTGCAAAAGAATAAGAAGGGAAGAGAAAAATTTGGTGTTTTTTTTATCCAGAGGTTATAGTTATAGTTACAGTTATAATACAATGCAAGCAATCACTTCTTAGAAGCAACACTTAGAAAATGTGTCAACATTGATTTGTACTTCCTATGTGTCAGGCACTGAATTAGTGCTTTATGCACACTGGCCTCTTTAATATTCACAGTGATTCCATGAGGCTGTTGGCACTATTACCCCAATTTTTTAGACAAGGAAATAGAGGCTCAGAGAAGTTAAGTAACTTGCTTGAAGTCATACACCTCATACATGTGACTTGAGCCTGTCTGACCAGATCTATATTATATGAATCCACATGGCCCAGTAATTCCCCTCCCTTCCCACTCCTCCATACCTGGCACCTCTCTGAACTGTGCCCAGTAATGTTACCTCTGCTCCGTTCATTATATCCACACCTGCATGTACAGCTGGTCACACCAGCACTTTGGAAAGTATATACACCAGGATGTAAGAAATATGAGTGATTCTCCCAGGGCTCCCAGATGAGAGAGGCAGCATTGTGTGAAGCAAAGGGCACTGGCCTGGGAATTAGAAGGGCTGAGTCCTAACTTGAGATCTGCCATAACAGCCTAACAGCCTCACGTAAGTCCTCTCTAGGTCTCTGTCAGGTCCTCTGTGCAGGCACTGGCTTGCCTCCAGCGTCCATTTCCCCATGTGATTATAAGGCCTCCCTCAGGGGTCCTTGGGGGACTAACTGAGACCATGCATTTCAATATGAAGCCTCTTGAACCACTCAGCTGCCCTAGAAAACTGCCTGAATGAATGGAATCCAAGCTTCGTC